TATACACACACACACACACACACACACATAGATGAATAATAGTAACAGTGCTTGAATAGGAACATATTGTAATAATCGTATCCAGCATAATGAAAAGTCATCCTTTATTTGTTGTGGACAGATGAGAGTAGCTGGTACCTGTTTATCCGGGAGCTCAGACTCTAAGAGACCCTTAGAGGAGAAGAAAGTTATTGTACGAGCTAGTCCACAGCACTTGAGACTCCAGTATAAAGTGCTATCAAATCGAACCACATTACTTTATATTACATTACATTTACCCTTTGAAGTCGCGGTCTGTATAATATACGGACCAATTTACTGTCGCAGGAAGCCCACTCTGAATTATAATTATACAGACTGACTTTGGTGCTGCTGCCCTCTATTTAATGAGTAATTTTAGGGGATTTCCCTATTGTTGCCACAACTGGACGTGCAGAAGCCTTTAAAGTGGCCAAATTGGTAGCAATCATTCAACGTCAGTGATACCCTTATTTTAGCGGATGATGACAGTGGGACTTAATGGGCCTCTGTGACCTTGGCAAAATTTACTTAGGAATTTAAAGGGTTAAGCAGCACCGATGGTAAACACTGTATACAAATGGATAAATAACAATTGTAAATTTTATTGGTCTCGATATTTTCCAACATTCTCGTCATATTATTAAATGCAATTTGGACTTTGCCTTTGTTAGGTATAGATTACAGTACTTTTATTTTATTAATTTGTTGACTTTGGCATACAGTACTGTTTAATAATTATATTTTGTATCTATTTTATTTAAATTCTGCATTTAACTAATTATTATAAATAAAATCATAACAAAAATATTTAAAAAAAACAGCAGTCTATGACATTCACTATACTTTATGTTAAGCTCAAAAATAATTTTAATTGGAAGTTTTTTTAATGGTTGAAGATGTTAGTATTACCTGTAGCAGTGATTCTGGAATATTGTCCACAGAAGAGGACACTGTATGAGGGCATCACTTCCTCTTGGTTCTGATGTTAAGGCAAAGGCCACAGCCAAGATGATAGCAATACGCAACATAGTTACTGGTGATGAACTATGAACTGACTATGAATGAATTTGAATATTGGAAATCTGGCAGGTTTCGAATAATGGCTCCTTCTCAAGGGTGGTGTATTTATAGGTAACCCCTCCATTTTGGTGACTGCTATTCATTGGCTGGTGTATTTCTTTCTCAATATAAATGTCTGTGATTGGATGAGATCCTCCACCGGTGACATAAAATTAGATAAATAATAGAAATGTACTATTTGGGTGAAGCTCAAAGACATTAAAAAAGGCATACAAAAACTCAATTTTTTGTACAGTAAAAACTAGTCATTTCCAAGAGGGCGTTATTTATTTGAATGCTGTAAAACCTTCCGTAGTGAAATTCTCTTGAGAGCCTACGTCAGTGACATAAAATTAGATAAATATGTACTACACTTTTTTTTTAATAAGAACGAGTAAAATTTTGCCTCATTGTTCTTATTTTTTTGGCCGATTTCAGGCTCAAATTGTTCTTATTTTGTTCTTAGTTACACACTTTTCAAACATAGAAAATTATTATATAGCAGTATGCTATAATACTGAAATGTAGATAAAAATGGCCCAGGAAAAATTGGTCCCTGAAAAAGAGGCCCAGAAAAATGGCTCCAGAAAAAAGGCCCGGTAAAAATGGCTGCAAATGACAGCTATACTTATAGTTGTACTGTATTATAGAGGGTATTACATAGTCACACCTACTGAACAAAAGGTACAGATATTTTTTTTATAGTTATTTTATTTAAAAAAAAACAAAAAAAAAAACCTGATTTGACATTTTAACTCAGCCTAAATTTGTTCTTATTTTGTCCTTTTTTAAGCTATTTCAGTGTTCTTATAAAATGTGTTGTTATAAAAAAAAAAGTGTATTTGGGTAAAGCTCAAAGACATAACAATCACATAATAAAAAAAATTAAATTTTACAATAAAACTTGTCCTAGTCATGCCCTAAAGGGAACTATTTATTTGAATGCAGTAAAACTTGACCTAGTTATTTTCTAGAGGGTGCCATTTATTTGAATGCAGTAAAACCTTTTCCTAGTCATTCTCTAGAGGGTGCCATTTATTTAAATGTTGTATAACAATACCATGTATTCATAATACAAGAAGCAGGCAGGTTTTTTATAATCATTTTTTATTTTGTTACTTTTTTTCACCTTGCAACAACATTTAACAGTACTACACATATTATACTTTACCTGCAATTTTTAGCAAACCATATGTTGCACATTAACAATTTAGTGCTATGGACATTTTTTCATTTACTGTATTAAGTTTGAGACATAGTTAAGGAAATTTATTTTAATACTAACTGGAGAAGTCTGGATTTTCCCTGAAAAAAATGTACTTGCCGTATTTATTCGAATAATCATCTCGCTTTGAATAAATGCCACCCTCGAATTAACGGCCCATTAAAATCCCTTTTCAACAATAAATGGCCCAGGGCGTTTATTCAAATAAATAAGGTATCAATCACAAAAATATATGTTTGGCAGCTCCGTAGCTATTAGAGGTTTCATCTCGCATACAGTATATAACAAATGCATTATCAGCGATTAACTGAACCGGTATAACTTGTGCGTTATACCCACTTTTCTAGGTGCATGCGTTCTGCACGCTGCACCTTTGTAGTAAAGAAAATGATCGATCAGCACAGTCGCTCTCACCAGCTAGGATATAGAGGTAAGCTATATGGTTTTTACCTTGACGGTGACCCATAAATAATAAATATTAATAACTCAAGTACCATGAAGTACATGTACTTGTTGTGTGTATTAGATCATGGATTTATTAAAATAAATATTATGTCGAGTAACTAACTGATCAAACCCTGGCTGAATTAGAAAAATTAAAATGATCTAAACCTAAGTTACTGTTAGGTAGTGCCTACAATATATTATGTGATATATAAAACAGATACACTTTTTACGCCTCCCCCGAACACTTCCCTGGCCCCTTCCCAATAATTGTCACACGTATAGGCTAAAATAAATTCATATTGAAATAAATACTGAAATTGCTGAATGAACAAATTGAGGCTGAGGTAAATGTCAAACGAGGTTTTTTTTTTAATGTAATGTAGTGGGATTTACTATAACGCATTACACCGAAGTCTCAATGCGCTAAAATAAAATAATAAAAAAAATAGAAAATCCAACTAAAGATTAAAAAATAAATAAATTTAAAAAAAATAGGAAAAACCAGCAAGTCTTATATGTAAATTATGTATAGGAGGTGATATAATGGTTTTGTGTTTTTAAAACCCAAAACCCAAAAGATGAAGCTTGACACAATGAATTCTGTTACACTTGACTCAATCCATTTATTCAACTCTTTCTGCCTGCAGCTAAACAGTAGCTCATAATCACTGATAGGTGGCAGTATAGCATATTTGCAATGGCTCAGACATTACAGTCACTATGTACATTAATACCCTGTAGGCTTATAATACAGTACTGATACTGCTGTACAAAAATAGCTTTCTATGTTTGAAAAGTGTGTAAAAATTATAAAAAAAAAAAAACTAAATGCGAAAATTTTGAGTCTAAAATTGGCAAAAAAATAAATAAGAACACTGAGCCTAGGGAAAATTTTACTGTTTCTTATAAAAATAAAATTGGCAAAAAAAAATAAGAACACTGAGCCTAGGGAAAATTTTACTGTTTCTTATAAAAAAAAAAAAATTGTAATATCTGTACGATTCACACATAAGCCGATTTCTTTTACATGTTCTGATCGTAGTGCCAACTACCTGTGCAAGGTGTTTTTATCTTGATTTACCTTGATCTTGTCAATACTTCTACAAATTTTAAATATCTGCATTTTACTGTATGGGTGCTATTCTGCTGAATAAGCTTAAACAAGAGTGTATATAACCTAACTTAACCCTGTATATGATGCATAATTATGCAAATAATTATACAATCTGATGAATGTGAATCTGTTCAACCATGAAGCCTCCGTGGTCTAATGGTTATGACGCTCGCCTTGACAGCGAGAGGTCGCAGGTTCGAGTCCCGCCAGAGGCATTTTATTACACGATTTCTTTATTCATTTATTTACAGGACTACATTCGTTGCGAGCTATGCTACACGATGTATTATTATGTCCATTGTTCGAACACTGTATTTACCTTTCTTTGATGATTTATGTATACAATTTAACAGTGTTAACGGCTATTTGATTTATATTTCAGTGTATACTATGATTTGTTCCTAGCCGTACTTATTCTGTGATAGAGTGTATCTGGTGGTATTTGAATCTGTTCAACCATGAAGCCTCCGTGGTCTAATGGTTATGACGCTCGCCTTGACAGCGAGAGGTTGCAGGTTCGAGTCCCGCCAAAGGAATTTTATTACACAATTTCTTTATTCATTTATTTACAGGACTACATTCGTTGCAAGCTATGCTACACAATGTATTATTATGTCCTTTGTTCGAACACTGTATTTACCTTTTTTGGATGATTTATATATATATATATATATATATATATAATATTCAGTTACGTAATTAAGTTCATATATGCCTAATTAAAAATTGTTTAGTTTCAATTTTGTACATTTTGGGTCCGTCGGCGTGGCCAACACAATAGGCCTAATTTGTTTTTATTTGGTTTAATCCGTCTACCTCACAATAATATTGTTTATATTGTACAGTATACAACTTGCAACAGCCAATCTTGTGCACTCAGTAAAGCTGATGAAGGCGAGTGAATGGCCGAAACTTTCGAAAATAAATACACAAAAATGAAATAACATTCCTTGGGAGGTGAATGTTTAAGCATAGATTTTATTTTTTTTAAAATTGACTAAAAAACAACAAGGACAAGGAAATTTATTTCGGGAGTATGAAGATTATTTTTTTTTTTTCAAAAAAAGACATGAACCGCTTCGTATCTTTTGAACTACTTCAAGGGTATTTTCTTCATTCAGTAAAGATAGTCTGTACCATGGCGCTATGCTCTAGAAAATTACTTTTAATGGTATATTTTTAAAGGAATTGTAATGTCGATACACACATTTTTTTTTTATTCTTTCAAGTTGTTTAACTGTTTTGTACTTTGAATGATGTTGTGTGAATATACTTCATCAATACGTTTTAGTTTTACATCGCTAAAATAGTGCAGATGATTGTTCTGTTGGCGTAAAATTTTTTTAAAGTTTCAATGTCCACAACTAGTTTTTTAACATGTACTCAACCGCAATCTACGTCATTTCTGGCCCACTTTACTGCCAGAGGGCAAGAGGATTGTTTTCCAAATCTTTTAACAAGTCAAGAAAAAGTTTAGTATTCTTTGAATTATTTCAAGGATTTCCTTCATTTGGGTATACATTTACGTAAGCTTCGTACCACAGTACGAATCACTGCAAATACTTTCATACTTTAAAGTTTGTTCAACTATTTTGTACACGATTTTGAATGACTTCATGAAGACGTTTCAGATTTACTTCACTACAAAGAACCGAAATGTTCTCAGAGGTCTAACCTGGCTCTGTGACCATTCTACTATTTTATAACTATACTGTTGGTTTATTCTGAAATCACTTACATAGCATACGAGTACTAATAAACGTATTATTGTCCAGTAGTTTTCATTTATCTAGTTGGGTGCCTGAATTTTGTGTAGTGAATAAGTTGCTTCGAAGTGAAGTGTGGCAGCTTGAAAGTTGGTGAATTTATATACGTATCTCGTGGAATGGCCTTCATAAAATTACTAAATTTTAGGGTTTAAAGTTGAAATATTGAACCCAAACTTCAAAAATAGTGAGATTAAAGGTAATACTTTATATTTACGACATAATTACATTTTGCTTAAATTACATGTTATACTGTCTACTTGGCCCTTATATTTTGAACAAAGGAGAATGAGAGCACTTTTTTTTCCCTTATTTTTTTACTGCAAGATGGCAAATTCAAGATTGTCAATTGGAAACAGTACTACTTTCTCACTTTTACCAACTAGACACATTGAATGCAAATAAAGGAAGCATTAGACACGATTTATGCCATGGTATACCATAACATACCAATCACCAACAATCGAGAGAGGAAGTTTACTGATGCGAGCTAGCCAGATTTTCATGCATTTCGTAAAATAAAGGAGATTAAAAAAAAACTAAACTTGGTGAGGCAGAGAAAATGGATGTGTGGGATACAAGATACAAGATTCTTTTTTTGTTACTGGTACATAAAATACAAGTAAAATTCGTCTTCCCAATGCAAACATAAAATTAGTATAAAAGTCAGGAATCCTGATGATGACATAATTAATGTCAAAATATTGAATCCCAAC